CTTGTCTAACAAATCTGCTGACGTTTTTTAGGAAAGTCTTCGAGGTAGTAGATAATGACGAAAATTACGATGTTATTTACTTAGACTTTAGCAAAGCATTTGACAGAGTACCGCATCAGAGGCTTCTGAGAAAAATTAAGGCTCATGGTATAGAGGGGAAAGTTTTAAATTGGATAAAATATGGCTCACTGATGGAACGAGAGGGTCAGCGTAGAGGTGTTAAATCTGAGGGGGCATGTAACCAGTGGGGTTCCCCAGGGTCAGTACTAGGCCCACTCTTGTTCATAATCTACATAAACGATCTAGATACTGGGATCAGCAGTGACATAAGCAAGTTTGCGGATGACACCAAAATAGGGCGGCAGATTAATTCAGGGCAGGATGCAAATGCATTACAGGAGGATCTAAATAAACTGCAGGGGTGGTCTGGAAAATGGCAAATGAAATTCAACACCAACAAGTGCAGCGTACTTAATATTGGAAGCGTACTTTATTATTAAAGAACAAATACTGTCAACGTATACAGGCTTAACAACATCAACCTAGAGAAGTCGACTTGTGAAAGAGACCTAGGGGTATTTGTGCTCGGACCTACGGCCTGAAAAAAACAGTGTATGTTAATGTTCCTGAAATAAGGCAAACAGAGTATTGGGTTTTATATCTAGAAGTGTAAGTAATAAGAGTGCAGAGGTCTTATTGCAACTATATCTTATAAGCATACTGCACCTCGATTTTGCGGTTCAGTTCTGGTGCCCTTATTATAGAATGGATATATTTCACTAGAGCCGGTAGCTAAGAATGACGAAAATGATTCCGGGACTTAGAAACCTTCCATACCAGGATAGGTTAAAGAAACTTAACTTGCATTCCCTAGAAAGACGAAGAGTGCGGGGAGATATGATAGAAGTATTTAAGTGGGTGAAAGGAATTAATAAAGGGGATATAGATAAAGTTCTTATAATATCCGAGCAGGATAGGACTCGGAGCAACGGATTTAAGTTGGATAAGCTTAGGTTTAGGAGGGAGATAGGAAGAAACTGGTTCACAAATAGGGTGGTGGACGAGTGGAACAAGCTTAGCAACTTTGTAGTAAGTGCTGGAACGCTGGAAAGTTTCAAAAGGAGGCTGGATAGATTCATGGATGATAGAGAGTGGTAGTAACTCTCGACAGGAGCTGCCATGCACAGGCCAACCGGCCTATTGCAGACTCCTTATGTTCTTATGTGTTTACTGCATCAGCTGATTTGTGTTTACTGCATCAGCTAATTTGTGTTTACTGCATCAGCTAATTTGTGTTTACTGCATCAGCTGATTTGTGTTTACTGCATCAGCTGATTTGTGTTTACTGCATCAGCTAATTTGTGTTTACTGCATCAGCTAATTTGTGTTTACTGCATCAGCTAATTTGTGTTTACTGCATTAGCTAATTTGTGTTTACTGCATCAGCTGATTTGTGTTTAATGCATCAGCTAATTTGTGTTTACTGCATCAGCTAATTTTAAAGTTTAATGCATTAATTTAAAGTTTACTGCATCAGCCAATTTGTGGTTTTAATGCATCAGCTGATTTGTGCTTTTACGCATCAGCTAATTTGTGTTTAATACTGCATCAGCTGATTTGTGTTTAATGCATCAGCTAATTTGTGTTTACTGCATCAGCTGTTCCATTCAACAACTTTCTTCCTTAAGAATTATTCACTGATATAACGACCACTTACGAGAAGCGACTACCAGCAAATAACAACCACCTTCATTGAACGATTACCTCAACATAACTACCACAAGCAAACAACGACTTTTTTTTACCTCAACGACCACCTCTACATAACGACAATCTTAACCCAACGACCGCTTCCAGACAATGACAACCATCACGTAACGACCACCCGCACACAATAACCGCCTCCAGACAACGACTACCACCAGACAACGGCCACCTCCAGACAACGACCCCATAAAAATTCACTCCCCGGGTAGAGATAGTGAAGACAAAGAGTTCTGATAAGCCCCACGACAATGTGTGAGGCCGCTGGGGTGACTGATAGTGACTGGTGACGCCTCTCTTTTCACCTTGACTCTCTATCTCTTTAACTTCGTTGTCTTTCTCTTTATCTTCCTTCTTCTTTGCACACTGCTCTGGCCTCTCTCTTTGGGGAAGGGTGCGAGGGAGGGGAGGTAGGTAGGGCAGGAGGTGGGGTAGGGTGTGTGTGTGTGGGGCAGGGCAGTGTAGGCAGGGGTAGTGTGTGGGGCAGGGTGTGTGGGGCAGGGTAGTGGGGTGGGGCAGGGGCGTAAGTAGGGTAGGGGGTAGTGGGGTAGGGTAGTGGGGCAGGGTAGGTGTGGGCAGGGGGCAGGTAGTGTGTAGGGGCAGAGAGTAGTGTGTGGGCAGGGTAGTGTGTGGGCAGGGTAGTGTGTGTAGGGGTGTGGGGCAGGGAAGTGTGGGGCAGGGGTAGTGTGTGGGGTGCGCAGAGAAAGGTGTGGGGCAGGGTAGGGTGTGGGGCAGGGTAGTGTGGGGCAGGGTAGTGTGTGGGGCAGGGTAGTGTGTGAGGCAGGGTAGTGTGTGGGGCAGGGCAGTGTGTGGGGCAGGGTAGTGTGTGAGGCAGGGTAGTGTGTGGGGCAGGGTAGGGTGTGGGGCAGGGTAGTGTGTGGGGCAGCAGGTGTGATCCACGTGCTGGCTGCCTCACCAACTCACCTTGACGACGCCGGTTTTTGCCTCCGTCACAACACACTACTCCGCCACCGCCGTGTGTGTTTAATTATGACCTCCGAGTTTTATCTCTTACTTCTCCTCCTCCTTGACGCCCTAAGGCTAAGCAAAGAAGTAATGAAGAGCTGCTGTATTGAGGGCGTGTGTGATGCTGTTTTCTTTAACTTTTCATCACAATAAAGAAGACTGACTATATTTTGGAACACACACACACACACACACACCCTCGTCATCGCCACCTCCTGCCACCTGCAGCCTCCCACCCAACTCGCGCAGTCCGCCACTACAACAAAATACAGCCCATAAGAGCCCTCACCGATAGATATAAGAACAGCACCATCCCATCTATTGTTAAAATAATAAACAACTCCTGATTTATGTACTGTACAGCCCTGTAAATGTATTCAATGCATATTATATCATTATGTCTAATTCAAATGTAAGTCTGCATATTTTCAGCCACCGGCTGCAACTCTATTAATAAACCGTTTATTATTATTATTATTATTATTATTATTATTATTATTATTATTAGATTTTACTAGAGTATCATTATAAATCTGATCATTGTACGTGGATGACCCTGATACCCCGCCGTTGTGCTGAACTAACAACTATTACACATAAATCAATCAGGAGATCTTTTTTTATATGCATAAGTTATCATTTGTGGGAATCTTTAACATGTCGCCATTACCAGGAACTACTTAACTAGAGGAAGCGTCGAGGAACTAAGAACAAAATGACTGGTCGAGTAATACTAAATTATAACACAGGCAGCCCAAATAACAGGGTATTACTAAAAAAAACCGCCAGAAAGAAACAAGAAAGAAGATTTGGACAACTTGGAGGTTTATTTTTTCGGTAATGACTCGGGTGAAGTTTCAACAATTGAGTTTTTTTTTTACTTCCTACTATTTTCCCATTATATTCTTTGTTGACTTTTTTGAAGAGTTGTCGTGTCAGGAGTCTCGGGGGGGGGGTGGAGGAGGGTGTCTGCCTGACTGGCTATATACCTGTGTCATCATATTGTCTCACACCTATACTAAATTAATGGTGAAATAAAAAAAGTCCTTCTCTCTCTCTCTCTGTCAACCTGCAAGACATCACTGGTCTTAAACACAGCTTCCTAATGTTACTCAGGTGTTGGCGCAGAACCAGACTTACAGCCATACAGGTATAGGTGTGGTAATTAACTCATACCTGTATCTGACAAACAAACATCACAGGAAACATCAACTTCCCCGTGACAATAACCACATCAACCGTGCGAGGAATAAAACAAAAATATAAACATGAATTTTTGCCTCACTGAATCTTTAATAAATAATTCAGTGGAACAAGAGAATTCATATTTATATACGATGACACTGTTAGTTATAAATGAATACGTTTATACAGTAGTTCCTCTTGTGTTTAGTCAAGTTCTCCAGAAAACGTGAATACACGAGAGCATTTGAACCAATTCTGTTTAATGTTTCATTGTGATTACATGTGTGTGTGTGTGTGTGTGTGTATGTGTGTGTGTGTGTGTGTGTGTGAGTGTGTGTGTGTGTGTGTGTGTGTGTGAGTGTGTGTGTGTGTGCGCGTGTGCTGTTACTTCATGGTGGTAAATAGCGTCTAAATGAAACAGGACAAATTAGATCATACATGAGCTAATTCCCATTAAATTTTACCAATAAAACAAAAATCTTTGTTTGATAGAAACTTTAGTTATGCGAAAAAGCTTAATAGACCGAGTACCTTTATTTAGTGGGATATATTATGTATTATACGAGTACTATACACGATAATACTTACTATACCTGTGGCGTTGTCTGATGCATATTTTAATACGACCCAATTAATGGTAATATCATTGTTAATAGTTGCATTACTGTCATAGTCATTACTGTTGTTATTAGTCGAGTACTTATTACCTTAATTATTATTATTATTATTATTATTATTGCCGATATAACATTTATTAAAAGTAGAAGCAGTAGTAGTGGTTATGATATGTAGTAGTTGTATAGGTAGTAGCAATATTAGTAGCAGTAGTTAGTAGCAGTGGTTGTAGCAACATAAATAATAATAATACAACAATAGCACCAGTGAGAGAAGCTTTGTTAGTAATTATTATTATTTTGATTCGTAGTTGTATTAGTAGACATAGTAGAGGTGTAAGCAGTTGCAATAGTATTAGTAGTAGTAGTAGTGTTAGGCCATAAAGTAGTGTTAGTAGTAGTAGTAGTAATAATATTAGTACAAACTTAAACCCACGGAAACTCGTGTAGCGGCTCCTGGCCAGTCTTTACCTGAGGTAGGAGAGCTCCTGTCTCAGCTGGGTCATGTCGTCACGGTGTTCCTCTGACTGTATCGCCTCCGTCATTGTCCCTCTCATCTCCTTCACCCTCTCCCCTAGGGTAGCCAGGGCGAGTCCTTCCGCCTCCACCACCTTGATGGAGGCTGAGAAGGTGGACTCTGCTTCAGTTGGGGCGTCGTGTGACCCTCCACCAACGCTAATTTTACTATTTTGAATATCGTGCACCGCCTTCTGCAGGTTATCGAGGAGTATACGGTCTATTTTCTGCTGAAGGAGGAGGCGGTCGACGGTATCCTGTAGGTGGGCTACGTGGTCCCGTCTTCGTTGGTGACGGTGTTGATGCTGTTGTTGTAAGGCGGCCCCAGTGGCACTGTGTCCCAGGAGTGCCACGAGCACCATCGCCACCATCACTGTCGTTAACATGGTACCCTGAAGCATTATTGTTGTCACTGTTATTGCTTTACACTTACACACACTAGTTTACACTTGACTCTAGGCAACCTCTTCACCAGGTATCTTGTTTAACACATGTCACTGCTGTAGTAGCACCAGGGCGTGGGAGCTTCACTACCTCACGCGCCGCTCACCACGCGTACACACAGCGGGGAGTTGTAACAGTCGGCTATATACTCCACCTCCCCGGCACGCGCGTCCCTCCCCGCCACAACACTTCGTCCGCTTCCTGCTATATTTCGGACGCGGAGTTGAAGCGTTATTTACCTTATTTGTTAATGTTAGTTTATACACAGACGTACTCCCTAGAAATCCTCTTTTTACAGTCAATGAATACACTTAGGTATTCCTTTTCAACAACTCTTTATGTTTTTCAATCGGTTATTTTTACCCAAAGTATGATGCGTTATATATAGAACTTACGAGTTAATTTAGAGGGAGGAGCTAACTCAAAGGACGGCCTCTGGTTGGCTCTAAATTAAACTAAGCCTTGATCGGGCTTCTCTTTACATAAGTTTGTTTACGTGTTTTAAATTCACATTGTACTCAGTAATATACACATTTAGTCAACACGTATCCTGCATAATTATATAACCTTCCATTGGTACACTGACAGTAGAGAGTAATGTAGAAAAAAAATGAAATACGACCCTGGTTGAGAAGTGGCAACTCGTCCACCGTCTTCGCGTTGATTGGTGGAGAAGGACAGGTGTGCAGCGGAGCGCAGGTGGACACTCGGGCTGGGCTGACCAACCTGAGTGAACATCAAGACCCTGAATATGTTCATGGCAAAATATACCTTAATTTTCTTGGCTCTTCAAATTATCGACACATAAAATCAAGCAGATCAGTTCACAAACATCATAACTCCCCCACAAGAAAAAATAATATCTCCGTATTTGGTAGATGATTCAACTGATAAACTTAGACAAAAAATCGAAAATCTATGAAACTGGACGAGAGAATGTGAGATGGACGGAGCAAGACATTTGGCGTGAGGTGAGGGCAGGGTGTCAGATGTCTTAGGCCTCCCTCTCTACCTTTACTCTCCCGAACAAACAACTCATTTGCATCTACCACTCCGCCAACCCCACCATTCCAAATATTAACCAACTCAAGAATTCACGTAGGATAAGAAAAATGAGCGAATTAGTTACGTGACGAGGGAGAGAGAGAGGGGAGAGAGGGAGGGAGAGTGAGAGACAGCCTCGAGGGTCGAGTATACTGTGATGAGAAAAACAGCAGCTGTGCGTGAGGCTTCAACTGGCAGATGAAAACAGTGATGTGGGGCCAAAAGACACAGGGGTTCTTAGGGCTTATCTGGAGCCCTTCTGGCCATACAAACTCCACCCTTAATGACTTGGGGGATTAACACTGTCATCATACCAACTAGAGATGAGATGCGCGACGCAAGAGATGAAAAAAAATAGACTGGAGTGAGACAGAGACAGGAGGAGGAGGGATTGACTTCAGCAGCAGGTGATAGGAGGTTTAAATCGAGTCATATCCTGCGTTACCTGGCCCTATTGTTGTGGCCGCCGACCCCCACCCCCGCCCTCCTGCCCAACCGAGTCTGTTGATTTTTCTCTCCAACAGTCCATAGTCATGAGGAAACAACAGTCAGAAACAGTCCGTATATTCAGTCATTCATAAGACAACAAGTCAGAGAAACAGTCAATAGTCTGTCATTCGTAAGATAACAACAGTCAACACAGTCTTTCGTTAATAAGTCAAGAACAGTCAGAGAAACATTCAGATGCCAGTCGTTCATAAGACAACATCAGTCAACTGTCAGAGAAACAGTAAACAGTCAGTCGTTCATAAGACAACATCAGTCAACTGTCAAGAACAGTCAGAGAAACATTCAGATGCCAGTCGTTCATAAGACAACATCAGTCAACTGTCAGAGAAACAGTAAACAGTCAGTCGTTCATAAGACAACATCAGTCAACTGTCAGAGAAACAGCAAACAGTCAGTCGTTCATAAGACAACATCAGTCAACTGTCAGAGAAACAGTAAACAGTCAGTCGTTCATAAGACAACATCAGTCAACTGTCAGAGAAACAGCAAACAGTCAGTCGTTCATAAGACAACATCAGTCAACTGTCAGAGAAACAGCAAACAGTCAGTCGTTCATAAGACAACAGACGCACCATTAGAATAAATAAATATTTGACAACCAATACAACTTCTCCACAAGACACTACATCAACCTAAACATATAGGAACTAAATTAAATGTAAAATAACCAAAATAAATCCTTAATCATCAACAAAAGGATAAATCACTCATCATGACACGAGAAATTAATCCGGAGAGCAGCATTAACACATCAGTGGTTATTATTGTTAATTTCGTTACTGAGCTGATCCCTCTCACAGTCTCGTGACCTCTGAGATTCAATTTACTCTCCATGAAACGGCTAGTTATGACCCCGAGACGAATTACAGATGTGAGCCTTGACCCGAAACGAGGGATATATATGTACGTGTGTGTGTGTGTGTGTGTTTATGAATTCATATGCTCATCAGGATTAATGCGTTAATATGTATGTATGCCTGAATGCATGTGTGTGAGTGTATATGCGTTTGCGTGTGCATGTGTATGGGGGAGGAAAGAGGGTTATGTGTGTGTGCGTGTGTGTGTGCAGGTGTTTTTACTCGTACATGTGTTAAGAAGAGAACAAAGAGTTTTCCGGCAGCAGCAGCAGCAGCATTGGGCGCCGCCCTGCAGGTGCGTGAGTCTTGCAGCTGCAGCAAGACCCGCCCGGCTCCACACAGGGCAGGAGAGGAGCAGGTGTAGTACCACAGCCCAGCATCAAGCGAGGCCACGCAGGTGCAGCACACACACCTGCCCTCCACCACTACCAGTAATATCTCCTTCACTTCCTCCACTACAAACACATACAGTACTACCCTTCACCACCACCATTACTACCACACATCTGCCCTCGACCACCACCACAACCACCACCAACACACGCCTACCCTCCATCACCACTACCACTACCACTATCATCAACACACACCTATCCATCACCACTACCATCAATACACACCTACCCTCCACCACTACTACTTTGCTGCTACTCGGAATCGAGTATGCCGATCATCCAGCTATGATACAATGATATGAGTTATTAAGGATGTCACCTTCTCTATTGAGCTCTGAGGTGACTCGAGAGGCCGATACGGAACCGGCAGGGTTGTCCACAGATGTAGGCACGTGTGGAGGGCTGCATCTATTGCGGGAGGGGCGGCGGCAGCGTCTTTCCGGCGTTGGCGCTTGTCTGTCTCGGTATGCAATCGGGCTAACTCGAAAGTATTGACACCTCGTGTGGTGCTCCTCCAAGCGTTACGGTGTGGAGTGATCGTCTCCCAAGTGAGGGGGTCGATTTGGCACTTTTTCAGGTTTGTCTTAAGACTATCCTTATACCTTTTCAGTTGCCCGCCAGCGTTACGTTTACTATTCATTAGGTGACTGTAAAGTAGCTGCTTTGGCAGTCTACTGTCGTCCATGCGGATAACATGGCCAGTCCAGCGTAGTTGTTCATGGATAATGCTCGATGCTCCTACAGTTGGTGTCAGCAAGAATACTGGCACTTGTTCTCTTGTCTTTCCAGCGAACTCGGAGGATGGAGCGTAGACTACATTGGTGAAAGTTTTCAAGTTCCTTGAGGTGCTTCCTGTATGTGACCCATGTCTCGCGACAATATAACAGGGTAGGGAGGACCACTGCTCGATATACGTGCAACGTTCTAGATAATTTCAACTTCCGACAGCTGAAGACACGGGTACTGAGTCTGCCAAAGACTTGAGATGCACTTCTGATCCGATTTTGAATCTCTTTATCGATGTTCTAGGTGGTGGAGAGGTGGGAGCCGAGATACTGAAAGTGGGTAACATTAGAGAGGGTAGTACCGTTAAGCTGGGTGGATGATGGAAGTGCGTCTGAACCAAGGGCAGGCTGAAAGAGAATATGAGTCTTACGTATATTCACCTCAAGGCCGAAGTGTGCATACACATCTGCGTAGGTGTTCAGGATCTCCTGTAGGTCACGTTGAGTGAGAGCGACAAGGGTAGGTCGTCTGCATACTGAAGTTCAGTAATGGAAGCTGCCGACACCTTTGTTCCCGCCTGGAGTCGTCTTATATTGAAAGGACTCTTCATCCGGTACTGGATGTCCACCCCGCCGGCAAAGTTGGCACTGGCACAAGTAAGGAAGACAGCCAAGAAAATGGAAGAGTTGGTGCCAGTACACATCCTTGGTTTACCCTGTTTGGATGGGAAAGAACTCAGACTGGGTGCCATTGTGCAGAACACTGCCGTTCATGCCATCGTGGAGTTGTCTCACAATGGCAATGAGTTTTGGTGGGAAGCCAAAACGGCTGAGGGTCCGCCAGAGGGCTTCCCTGTTGACCGAGTCGAAGGCCTTGGATAGGACGATGAAGGCCATTTACAGGTCACGGCACTGTTCTCTACACTTTTCCTGTATCTGGCGGGCAGCAAAGATAATGTCAGTGGTGCCACGTGATGGTCTAAAGCCATTTTGAGATTCTGGTAGGAAGTTTTTCGCCTCAGGAAGAAGTCTGTTTAGGTGGACTTAGGCGATAATATTGCCAGCAATGGACAGCAGCGAGATCCCTCGGTAGTTGCCATAGTCTGACCGGTCTCCCTTGTTCTTTTAAATATTGATGATGGAGGCGTCTTTAAGAGCTTGTGGGATTTCCTCCTTTTCCCATATATTCTCCAGGAGAGAGTGGAGACGGTTGGTAAACAGAGGTCTTCCTGCCTCGGTTTGGATTCCATCAGGCCCTGAGGCTTTGTCATTTTTCATCCATTTGATGGCAGTAGCTACCTCATCCAGGAACGGAGGATAGTTGAGGTGGGTCAGCTCTGGATGCTGAGGAACCTGCTGGGTAGTCAGGACATCCACATATGTGTTTCGGTTGAGCAGCGAATGGTAGTGCTCTTTCCAGTGCTGACGGATGCCTTCTTTGTCTTTAATTAGGGAGTTAGTGAGTTACCTTTGGATGAGCGGAGGGGAGCTGCACCATGAGTGATTGGCCCATAAATTGTTTTAGTGGAATTTAAAAATTCGCAAACCTTGTGTTGATCTGCAAGTTTTTTTTTTTAATTTCACAAGCTTTATTTTTAAACCAGTCGTTCTTTAGATTATGAAGTTTGCGCTGGGCGCCTCTTTCTTCTTTCGGAAGTATCAGCTTTGGTCTGAGACTTAGGGTTGTTCTGCCAGTCAGTTAAAGCAGCACGTTTATCATCGATGAGCACATTGATTTCTTGGTCATTTTCATCAAACCATTCCAGGTGTATTCTTTCGATCTGGCCGAGGGTCTCTGCAGGTTTTTGTCCTGGCAGTGTCAAGAATATCCCATTCGGCACTGGGATTTGAGTTGTTTGTTGTCGGGTTGTTTATCAGCCCATGCTCGAGCTACTCTCTGAAAACATGTGCTCCCGCTGGATCCTCCCTACACTCAGTGTTAAAACCTCTTCTGGAGGCTTATTGCCCTCGTCGTTTTGGGGCGATGTGAAGTGAGAGCTTGGCTCTGACGAGCCGGTGATCAGTGTCCCACTGGCCTGAGCCACGCATGGCTCGGGGGAGGACGTCTCGGCGATCTTTTTCACTGACAATGGTGTAGTCAATGAGATGCCATTGTCTGGGTCGTGGGTGTTGCCACGAACCCTTGAACTTATCGGCCTGCCTAAACAAGGTATTGGTGATAGTGAGGTTGTGTGCCTCCACCACTACCGTCAACACACACCTCCCCTACACTTCATCTTATCACCACGAACACCACCATCACCTGCACCACCATCAATGCACACTACCAACAATACCACCACCAACTCTTGCCAATAGTTATTTAATACACAGAGTCAAGCATAAAGACACCTGGGGAACGTTAGCCCAAGATAATGAAAATTATTCTCATATGTGTGTGTTGCTATCTACGGTGTAACGAAGGGAATAATAACAATAATTTCAGATTGCGTTGTTATTTGTGTTGTTATAGTTCGGGTTTTTTTGAGAAGGAATTATACTGTATTGTGTTAGTTCAAAAGCACCACAAACAAAATAGTACATACACATACCTCACCATCTCTCCGCCACATCACATCACAGACCGATATAAAAAGTGAGTGTTACGCTTCCTGTCTCTCGTGAAGCAGATGACATAACCGACACACACACACACCCAGGTCTTGGTGGTGAGATAAGGGGACGGGGAGGTGTAGTGCCGGGGGGTGAAAACTGATAAGAGGGGAGGGAGGAGGAGGAGGAGGGGGACAGTAAAGATAGGAGGGATCGAGAGAAAGCAATAGAGGAAGGAGGGCGAGGACAAAGAGTGAGAAGGGAAGAGGAGGAAGGCAATTGAGGAAAGACGGAAACAGATTTAGTGGACATAATTAACGACAGACATAGGCAGTGACAGGCGTGAGACAGACAGACATAGACTCAGACAGAAAGTTCGTGTGGTGGTGTGAGGGTATCTGAGAGAGAGAGAGAGAGAGAGAGAGAGAGAGAGAGAGATTGCAAGCAAACTCCCAAAGCCACTGACAGCTGCAGTTTCCGATAACGGATCAGACCACCTCAATATTCTCACCAATTACTACCAGACGGAAACCTCCGTCTCTCGTCTACCACTGTCCGCCTGTCCGTCTGTCTGTCTATCCATCTCCTTCCCACAGACATAAACATACGCTCTCTCTCTTTCTCTGTTCATGTAACTGAAGGGGAGAAAGAAAGAAGAAATACAAACAGATAAAAATGGAAGGTGAGACAGACAGACAGACAGACAGGGACGAATGACAGAACCCCCGCTGAAAGAAGGAAACAGCCCCATTAAAAGATACAAGAACCAATTATATCTCGTCCCATAAAAAAAGTAGATTAAAGATATATATAACTCGTGGGCAGAACCTTCTAGGAAGAAGAACTTGCGGGAGGAAGCCACAAAGGTTCTAGGAAGAACTATAGGACAAAGACACCGACATCCTCAATACTTCTGTGCCTTCATGTTTTATTGAGGGAGGGTAGCTGTAGCTCTCCTGCTGTGTGTGTGTGTGTGTGTGTGTGTGTGTGTGTGTGTGTGTGTGTGTGTGTGTGTGTGTGTGTGTGTGTGTGTGTGTGTGTGTGTGTGTGTGTGTGTGTGTGTGTGTGTGTGTGTGTGTGTGTGTGTGTGTGTGTGTGTCCCTCCATTGTTCCGATTAAGGTAAACTCGATGGGTGAGTCTAAGATTATCATTAGTCACTCGTTGATGTATTAGTTGACTACAAAAAAACAAAAAACCTAGATGATTCAATTACCTTTCTATTTTATTTTTCCATAGTTAATGAGTGAAATATATCGAAACATTATCTATTTACCTGTATATTTCACCCATTCTTTGTCTCCTTCTTTATCGCAGTCTTCCCCCGCCCTCTTTAACTGTCTGTCTGTCTGTCTGTTTCGTTCCCTATTCAGAGCATCAGAAATATGGTCCAATTACAGTCGACTGTCCACCCCGGGGCGACCAAACACAGTAAATGTCAGGCATAATGAAGTTCTTACACACCTTAATCTTAGTACACAGCTGTCGGGGGTACGATACTGTATCTCGCTGTCGGGGTACGATACTGTATCTCGGTCTCGGGGGTATGATGCTGTATCTCGCTGTCGGGGGTATGATACTGTATCTCGCTGTCGGGGGTATGGTGTTGTATCTCGCTGTCGGGGGTATGATACTGTATCTCGCTGTCGGGGTATGATGCTGTATTCGCTGTCGGGGGTATGATGCTGTATCTCGCTGTCGTGGGTATGATACTGTATCTCGGTGTCGGGGGTACGATACTGTATCTGCTGGGGTATGATACTGTATCTCGCTGTCGGGGGTATGATACTGTATCTGCTGTCGGGGGTATGATACTGTATCTCGCTGTCGGGGGTATGATACTGTATCTCGTTGTGGGGTACGATACTGTATCTCTCGTCGGGTGTCGATACTGTATCTCGGTGTCGGGGTATGATGCTGTATCTGCTGTCGGGGGTACGATGCTGTATCTCGCTGTCGGGGTATGATACTGTATCTCGCTGTCGGGGGTACGATACTGTATCTCGGTGTCGGGTATGATGCTGTATCTCGCTGTCGGGGTATGATACTGTATATCGGTGAATGGGGTACGATACTGTATCTCGCTGTCGGGGGTATGATACTGTATCTCGCTGTCGGGGGTACGATACTGTATCTCGCTGTCGGGGTATGATGCTGTATCTCGCTGTCGGGGTTACGATCTTGTATCTCGCTGTCGGGGTATGATACTGTATCTCGGTGTCGGGGGTGCTGTATCTCGGTGTCGGGTATGATGCTGTATCTCGTCGGGGTATGATGCTGTATCTCGGTGTCATGATACTGTATCTCGGTGTCGGGGCTATGATGCTGTATTCGCTGTCGGGTATGATACTGTATCTCGGTGTCGGGGATACGATACTGTATCTCGCTGTTGGGGTATGATACTGTATCTCGCTGTCGGGGGTACGATACTGTATCTCGGTGTCGGGGGTATGATACTGTATCTCGCTGTCGGGGTACGATACTGTATCTCGCTGTCGGGGTATGATACTGTATCTCGCTGTCGGGGTATGATACTGTATCTCGCTGTCGGGGGTGTGATGCTGTATCTCGTCGGGCGGCTGATACTGTATCTCGCTGTCGGGGGTATGATGCTGTATCTCGCTGTCGGGGGTATGATGCTGTATCTCGCTGTCGGGGTATGATGCTGTATCTCGCTGTCGGGGTATGATACTGCATTCGCTGGGGGGTACGATACTGTATCTCGCTGTCGGGGTTATGATACTGTATCTCGCTGTCGGGGGTATGATGCTGTATCTCGCTGTTGGGGGTATGATGGCTCTGCTGTCGGGGGTATGATACTGTATCTCGTATGTCGGGGGTATGATACTGTATCTCGCTGTCGGGGTACGATACTGTATCTCGCTGTCGGGGGTATGATACTGTATCTCGGTGTCTGGGGGTATGATACTGTATCTCGCTGTCGGGGGTATGATACTGTATCTCGCTGTCGGGGAACGATACTGTATCTCGGTGTCGGGGTATATTACTGTATCTCGCTGTCGGGGGTATGATACTGTATCTCGGTGTCGGGGGTATGATACTGTATCTCGCTGTATGGGGTACGATACTGTATCTCGCTGTCGGGGTATGATACTGTATTCGCTGCTGGGGGTATGATGCTGTATCTCGCTGTCGTAAACGATACTGTATCTCGGTGTCGGGGGTATAATACTGTATCTCGCTGTCGGGGGTCGATACTGTATCTCGCTGTCGGGGGTATGATGCTGTATCTCGTTGTGGGGGTACGATACTGTATCTCGGTGTCGGGGGTACGATACTGTATCTCGCTGTCGGGGTATGATACTGTATCTCGGTGTCGGGGTATGATGCTGTATCTCGCTGTCGGGGAATGATACTGTATCTCGGTGTCGGGGTATAATACTGTATCTCGCTGTCGGGGTACGATACTGTATCTCGGTGCCGGGGTATGATACTGTATCTCGCGTGGGGTGAGATACTGTATCTCGCTGTCGGGGTATATACTGTATCTCGCTGTCGGGGTATGATACTGTATCTCGGTGTCGGGGGTATGATACTGTATCTGCTGTCGGGGGTACGATACTGTATCTCGCTGTCGGGGGTATGATACTGTATCTCGCTGTCGGGGTACGATGCTGTATCTCGCTGTCGGGGTGAGATACTGTATCTCGCTGTCGGGGGTATGCGACTGTATCTCGTCGGGGGTATGATACTGTATCTCGCTGTCGGGGTTACGATGCTGTATCTCGCTGTCGGGGGTGAGATACTGTTATCTCGCTGTCGGGGGTACGATACTGTATCTCGCTGTCGGGGTATGATACTGTATCTCGCTGTCGGGGGTATGATGCTGTATCTCGCTGTCGGGTATGATACTTATCTCGTCGGGGTACGATACTATATCTCGCTGTCGGGGCTACAATACTTCATCTTTCGGTGTCAAATTCTGGGATACGATTCTATCTCGCTTCTGGGGTACGATACTGTATCTCGCTGTCGGGGGTATATTACTATATCTCGTTTGGGGTACGATACTGTATTTCGTTAGGGTACGTTACTGAATACTTGTGGTGTTAGATACAATGCTGTTTGCGGGGTTACGATAGGGCACTGTTCTACATATATTTACTGGAGCTCCACCGGTTGTGCTCAAGCTGTTGTACGGTAGTCGTTGCTGGTCGCCGTAGCATGACGTTAGTGGCTAATGACGGGAAATGCAGCCGTGATTGATCGTGGCGCTAAGTGACGCAGGCGTGTAATTACCACTTCATTCAATTAATAAAATTAACGTGGACAGATAATTGTGAGTAACAGAAGCTCCTTGTCTCGTATGGTAAGATTGTATAATTGGTCCAGGTAAGAGGACTCGCCAGAGTGTCACGTGAAGTACGGATGACGAGTAAGTGGTGTGATCTCCCGCCACCAGGGGACTACCGGTAGCCTTACGATATACATCACTTTTTTTCACTTTGCTTTTTGTCATTTCGAAGAACTTGACTTAACGGTAATTTGAGGTCTGGGTGTTTGGTTCCTGCGTTACACGGGCGGGAGTTTTTTGTTCTCCCGTCTCGCTGACACTCAAGACCACCACTCGAATCCCGACGACACTTCCTGACCTTCTCACTAATTTACAACCCTGACGAGCCCCGCGATCTGCCCTGTTTTTTTACAGTAATTTCATTTTTTACCGTTGGTGAGGTAAAGGGAACGCTTCTATTTACGGTAGCTTCTCAGTGCAGTGCAGTATTTCCTTACAGTGTTTTACAGGTAGGTGACGGAACGCTTCTATTTACAGTAGATTCTCTGTGTAGTTTATAACGTAAGGAGGGCGAGAACGCCTCTATTTACAGTAAGATTTCAACGTAATATTGTAAGTTCTTACTTTATTTACCCTTTACTGGACGCTTCTGTATACAATAAGTTTTCGGTATAATAATTTCGACAAGAGATCGACTGAAGCCGCATGTCCTGGTGTATCGAGTTAGCCAGCATTGTTGAGTTAAGGAACTTTTGAGTCTGAGGTCTTGATTGGTCCCTTTCTGACCATCAATTATCACCTCGTCGTCATCCTCATCATCGTCGACGTCATTTTCATCATTATCATCATCCTCACTCTCGAGTTCATCATCGTCACCATTCTCATCACTACCATCATCAACTACCACCGACCAATTATTCGTCAAGGGGTCGAGTACGTGTTCTATGTAGTCGGGGCATTTATACCTTCGTCCGGAGATTGCAATGAGACGATACCGTGTTGCCTAAAGCTCGGTAGCGTCTCGGGTAATGGTCGACGATTCCACCAATTTCCTGGTAGATTATGGGTTGTAAAGCACGCACATATAATTACATAAGCATAGTTAGCCAAGTGCCTGTGTTGGGGGGATGGGGGAGGGCAGGACTGGCATTATCTTAGATGGGAGGAGAGTTACGGGTGTAATTCCGGCAGTTTAAGACATCGGCCGCAGGTATCGTGATTACGGGGCATCCTGTTGCGTCCGGTGTGCACCCGCGGCCGGTTTATATGTCACACGGTAATGCCAACGATACGTAATGGCCGGCGTTATAGATGATCTCTTAAGTGCCTCAACAGGGGGCTATAATGAGGGGCCAAATGACTGATACGTAATGGCAAGTTTTATAGATATGTGGATGTTATATGAAGGGGGGAGAGGTGTAGATAGATATATAGCGAAAGGTATTGTTATAGATGTTATCATTACCGTACCTCAGGCTCAAGATATACTAGAAAAAAGTAATCAGTGGAAGGAATAAATATTGTGACTCTCTCTCTCTCTCTCTCTCTCTCTTAGGAAACACTCAAGGTAACTCACTAGACAATGACACAAGCAAACAGGAGGTGCAATTTTCTAAGCGACATTTGCATCTGTCGTAATGTGTGGAATAAACCCTTATTAGTGAAATGAGTGTTGATACAGGACAGTGTAATTGTCCCACACACTCCACACACACACACCCTCCCTCTCCCATACACGTTCCCCCATATCTCTACACATCCCTCACCTCACATAAACACTGCCCCCAAGTCTTAACTCCTCACTAAACATACCTTACACACTCTCCCACTCATCCCCCCACATACCCTACATAAACAATCTGACACAAGCACTCTCCTCCACTCCTCCTCCACACATAATACTCAGACATGCATGCATCTTTCAATTCCCCACACTCCACCCTACACCCCAACCCACCACACCCATACACCAACACCACACACCCCACACCCCACACACACCTTAAAGTTCACAGTCCACGGCACAATAGCCATAAGGACAATAGGAGATCTGTACAGCATGAAATTCCATCATTGTGTCTCTAAATTTTCAGCAACGCCCAACACAAGACGGTCACCTGTCTGTGTTAGAGTAATGAGTATTCTCATCTCTCTCTCTCTCCTCTCTCTCTCTCTCTCTCTCTCTCTCTCTCTCTCTCTCTCTTGTATCTCTGTCTGTCTGTCTCTTTCCATAAATGTCCTGGCCATATCAAGGACAGACTCATGTGTTTGAATATCTTACAGCTGTGTTTGTCTCTCTGTTGTCCTTGATGACAGACAGACAGACAGACAGACTAAGGTATGTTAACATATAAATGATTAAATGCATAAAGAAATAACAAGAGAATACAAATAAATTAACAGTTAAATAGATGTATGCGCGATTGAAAGAATAAATGAATTAACTAACAAAAATACAGACATAAATTTTAATACGAAATAAAATCAATGAATTAGTGAATGAAGAATCGGATGTATGAAGAAATTGGTTAATATATAAACAAACAAATAACGGATAAGTAGGGGAATAAACAACAACAATAATCTATCAAACGCAGAGGGATTCCAACCCTGAGGGAGAACAATCAAAGTTGCCTAAATCCTCTTTGACACGATCCAGCCCTCCCCAGCCCTCCCCTCCCCTGTTATCCTTGATAGGGGCGCCCCGTCTAGGAAGCAGCTGTGAGGCAGGGCACACGCGTCAACCACCAAGAAGTCTGGCTATTCCATTCCCCGGATACGTGGTGCATGTCTGTATATGTACTGGGCTGGGATTTCCTATGTCTCACCCATACGTGTCCAAATGCACGAGGTTTAGCTGCTGTACGCCCGACCTACACACGTATCGAAGTGCATGGGGGTTTGGTTCGTGCAAGTTAGACCTACACGTGTCGAACTTGGCTTTGACCTCTCAGACGAGTGATACATGTCCCTGGGTATGCATTCTGGCTTTTGCACGGGGCCGGACATACCTTCATCCATTGTGTGGGCCATGGCCTTTCTCTGTTTCTCTGTCTCCTCTTAGACGACACCCGGACACTCTACATGTTCAATGTGGCTCATGCACCCCGCCCCTATACTACACCTACCCACACCCGCCCACACCCGTTCACATCCATCCACACCCACCCACATCCACCCACACCCACCAACGATCAGAGAGAGACTATCTGTTACTATAATGCGGGTATTACCATATTCGTGTACTCCCTCATCACTCACTCTTAACCCTAACTTACAGTATAGATGACGGACTTTTTATATCGTATCGATCGTCATCTGTTGTAGTGTTGTTGTCTGTCTTAAGCGTGTTCAGAACCTCACACCTCACACTTATAAATGCTCCTCTGTACATGTAAACAAGGGTGACCGATGACTGTCCATTGGTTAAGCTGCCCGTACTGTTGTACAGTACACTCGCTCCAAAAAGTATCTTAAGCGATTTTGTATGAAACAATATGACATAAAGGACGAAAGATTTTGACAATCCTACCGAGACAACAGAAGTCGCAGTGTTCATTTTAAAATTTATCGTACCCCACCTTTGGGATACTTTTTGGAGCGAGTGTATATACGAACTATTCTCATACACGTGAAAATTATTTACCAGTTACCTAAGAATAATAAAAAGGATCACTCACTATGCCTTCAGGGAGGATCGAACTCCCGGCCTCTGGTTTACTAGACCAGCGCTCTATCCACTGAGCTATGAAGGCTGATTATTTGAACAAAGGTAAATATTCCATGAAATATTAACATGTTTACCCCGTAGTGAGCAGCCACAGACAGGGAGGAGACGCCACGCAAGATGTGGGCCTTTCCAGCCTGGTTGCATATGTATGTGTGTGTGTGACGTGCAATGTATGTATGTATGTATGTATGTATGTATGTATGTATCACGATCGCTTACCTGGTTGAGATTTAGTAAAGGAGTAGTTTGTATGTGAGAGGTGGAAGTTTATGTGTGTGTGTGTGTGTGTGTGTGTGTGTGTGTGCGTGTGTGTGTGAGGGGCGGGATCGTGGTATCACCCGCCTTCGGGGACACAGGATTATATGGTATGATACGGATGCTAGCAGCTCCTGCCCACCTGCCCTCACCAGCCACCCACACAAAACTCCTCTTTGTCCACCTACCACCCACCCTAACCTGCCGCCCAGCTTCTGCCCATCTACCCTTACTGGCCGCCCACCGCCCCTCACTGGCCGCCCATTTCCAGCAGTCCACCCATCCACCCAAATAAAAACCAATAATACCAACACACCCTCATACTCATTCAACCAAAAAACAGTGATACCAACCCTCCCTCACCTCGACTACAATAACTCCTAAAGATCTCAAATGCGTAGTAAGATAACGGTTTCAACATCAGGAAGTCCAAGCAATTTGATTACGGTTCTCTGGGTCGACGCTTCCGTGGTAATCTTGTCCATCGTGGCATTTCCTCGTAAACAGGAATTGGTTTCATTGTTCCGGTTCCCTGATGCAACTTCCGTAAGCACATGGAAAGCTTGTAAGGATTTGGAGAATGCCCTGGAGATAGTGTGGAGAGATTGTAGAGATTTGTAGGAAGCTTGGAGACAGCACGGAGATAGATAGCGTTCAGATAGCGTGGAGAGTTAGGAGTGTTTGGAGGCAGTGTGCATGGGGATGGCTGTAGAGGTTTGGAGAAAGCGTAAAGACAGTGTGGAGATGGCGTGGAAAGTATGTAGAGACTGGACACAGCTTAGGGAGAATAGAGAGATAGCTTGGAGACAGCATAGAGTGGATAGAGAGACAGGAGACAAGACAGAGAGACGGAAGACAGCTTTGAGACTGGATATAGAGTGGTGAGGATATAAAGCATAAAAAAGTATATATAGACAGGAGATAACTTAGAGCGGAGACAGAAGAAATAGGATACTGCGTCGAGAGGGTGTGGAGATATTTTAGAGACAGCTTGGAGACAGCATAGTGAGGATATATAGACTGGAAACAGGATAAACAGGATATAGAGACTTAAGACAGCTTGATAGAAGTTGTGGGAGACAGTAAGGGGACAGCATAGAGAGGATAGAGAGATAAGAGAGCTTGGAGACAACACAGAGAGGATTTAGAGACAGAATACAGTTTGGAGATAGTAAAGAGAAGAGACAGAGAAAGGAGACAGCTTGTTAGAGGATGTGAGAGACAGTAAGAGGTGTAGGTGTCGTGACCGGGGTATCAGCTGGTGGGCGCCACCTGCTGAGCGGGGTAAGACGGGCTTCCGGACTACCCCAGCCCCTGCCGCTATATATCTGTCGCATCGGCAGCCCAGCGGACGTCTCTACCCTAACCCCACCCTACCCAACAATACCCAACCATACCCTGCCCCCTACCCCTGGTCAACATCTGTATCGCCGCAGGTGTGACTGTATAGGAGCTCGGGTGTACTGGTGTGGAGTGTTGGGTGTCCAAGCCTAGTGGTGTGGGTTGGTGGGTGTACCAATACAGAAGGTCTGGCGACGCAACAACACAGGATGACTCAAATGGGGATGTACACACACACACACACACACACAAACACACACCATGTTATCATATACAACAAGCTCTTCATTACTCAGACAGGCGAAAATCCATTGTCAAAATCATGAGTCCGTACAGTACACTCCCAGTGCTTGCTAAGAGCCGAGTAACAGAAAATTAATCATATTATATAATGAGAAGATTTGAGAATATGGAGAAGAAAGGAAATTATTTGGAGGGATTGCAGTTAGAAAGTTGGTAACGTGATTGAGCAAATCCCCGTAAAAAAATGGTCAAACAGAATTGTTAAAAGTGGACATACAAACATAGATGTTAACAGTTAAGGTATGACAATTACTGGTCATTCTGGCAGTTCTCTCCACGAAAGGGTAACCAGATAATTTGAATTACATGGTATATAATAGTGTATTACAATACCTGTGGTGAACCGTACCAACCGTTCCGAAACTGGTGGACTAACACTGCTCACAAAACCACAAGCTATATACGCCGTGGGTAACGATACTTTTTTGAGAGGACTGTACATGTCGTTTGTGTAATGTTTTGATACACTGTTTTTCTTTTCAGCGACTAGCATTATCACCTCAGACCAACGTTAATAGTGATACATGATTACTCTCTACTTGTGATTTGTTCATTAATGAAAACTTGGTATAACTTACATACATAATTACGTCTATTTCAACCAACTGTCCAACTGTGTAATAAACTAAGAGAAGAGGATTGATTAGTAACTAAATACACTAAGTAATCTTTCGGTACCAAAATCTCACTTTAGAGATAAACCAGATTATATAAAGAGACGTTTATCCAATTACAATGATTTTTTTTTTTTAGTTTTTATTGAAGGAAATGTTCACTAAACACATCAAGACTGTCCACGCTTTGAGGGTAGCGGAGCACTTGGGGATTTTATTCTGGTTAACGCCCGACGATTTTATTCAGCTGAGAGGAACCCCTGACCAACAAAGAGTTAAGATCATCTTCGGAAACGTTTATTACATCAACAGGAATCTTTATAAGGTGTAACTCGTTCTGGTAGACATTGAGTAAGGGCGACACTCAGACGGCGGTGAAGGACACTCAGTCATGTCCAGCCGCAGCTGTAGTAATGAATTATATATATAAGAGATGTTACGAGTGTGTGTGTGTGTGTGTGCGTGTGTGTGTGCGTGTGTGTGTGTGTGCGTGTGTGTGTGTGTGCGTGTGTGTGTGTGTGTGTGTGTGTGTGTGTGTGTGTGTGTGTGTTAGTATCAGTGTGAGTGTTAGTATCAGTGTGAGTGTAGTGGACGCAGAGGGTGAGGCGGAAGGAAGATTGAGAGAGTAAACGATAATGAGGGAGATGCACAGTACAGTAAGCAAAAAAGGGAGAGAGGGAGGGAGGAGTGTCGAGGAAGACATATGTAGAAAGAGAGAGGAATATGATATAAAATTAAGAGATAGTCAAGAAAAATGAGGTTTAGAATTCAGCAAGACAAATGCGAGTGGGGGAGAGGAAAGGTACAAGAGAAAGGGAGAAGACAGCAGGGAGAAAAGGGGAGAAGGGGAACAAACAAGACTTATGGCCAATGATCAACAGAGAGAGTTGATGAAGGAGGAACTGGAAGGTGTGCAAGGAGGAAGAGGGAGGGCAGAGCACGTGGTTAACAAGGGAGGGAGGGTAGGGAGACAGCTGGGTATTGAAGGAGACAGGGCGAAGGGCACGTGGGCAGCGGAGGCGGTAGGGAGGGTAGGCAGGTGGCGGAGTGAAAGTCCATCAGCTGGTGACCTGCAAGAAACACCCCACCCCACCTGACCCCACCCCACCCACCCCACCCCACCCCACCTCACCCCACCCCACCCCACCCCACCCCACCCCACTCCCACCCACCCCACCCCACCCCACCCCACCCCACCCCACCCCACTACCCCACCCCACCCCACCCCACCACCCCACCCCACCCCACCCCACCCCACCCCACCTCAATTTACGACATATATATGGACGGTATCTCAGACCTTAACATAGATCATACTGTACTGTGATCGTTTAGAATTTAGAAACATTTGTAGTAATTCTTTCACAATACAACATATTAAATTCAGCCATAACAAGATAGATAGACAATGTTTTTATTAGTCTTCAAAATTAAAGAGAGTAAATGAACTATCTATCTATCTATATATTTATCTCTGTCTGTCTATCCATCTATCTTTCCGTCTATTTACTATTGTTTCTGTCTCACGAGGTACAGGAACTTCAAAACAAAGGCAGGAAATAGAAAAGACGAATGAGGTTGTACCGAGACTAAGAAAGGTCGAAAATTTCACACCTACCTGTTCTCATCCCACCAGTAGACTCCGTGTTTCATATTCTTCTATACAACAAATCGTGTTTTTGTTTTTTCACTAAGTTTATTGTGTAGATAAACAACTGTACTGCTGTAGTTGGGTTGTTCATCTGTATGTATATGACCCTGGTTTAGTGTGGGGGAGGGGGTGCGGAGATCAGTACCGGGAACTGAGAGTGAGGGAGCGAGTGGTATAGTGACTTACAAATTTCATGAATAGAGGAGGACGACAGCTTACTGATAGAGAGACTGGATGATACAACACTTTCTTCTGTGTTGAGAGGAACGGTGCTAAGATAACAAGAAATCCACACACACACACACACACACACACACACACACACACACACACACACACACACACACACACACGACACACACACACACTACACACTACACACAGGACACCATAACATCACCTCCATCACCACAATCATCTCATCATTATCGAGTGACAGAGAAAACAACATCATATCAGTTGTCGCTCTTTGGAAATCAATGTAATCTTGGACTGAGAAGAGGGTAATCTTAGCAACCACTTGATGTCATGGCAGTTTTTCGATTAGGTAGCGGCTCTGTGGTAATTGTAGTAGTGGTACAGGATTATGAACTGCTTACCGATAAATACATCGAGAGAGGAAACACTGTGCTTGGGAGGAATTGGATTGTATTATTGTTAGGTGAAGTTGTGTTTGATATTGATTTTTTTAAAGTTGAGGTGATTGGTGGGTTGTTTTTCCAAGTTGTGTGTGTGTGTGTGTGTGTGTGAGAGAGAGAGAGAGAGAGAGAGAGAGAGGGAGAGAGAGATGACTCAGGTATCTACTCTCACACACCTAATTGAATGTTTGTATAACTTGGTGATGTGCGCAACAGCAACACACACAAAACAACAGCAATAAGAACAACAACAACCTTCATCACAGTGCTCAGCGTCACGTGACCACACTCATCCAACCACAAGGAAGATCCCAGACTACAAAAACACACAAACAGAGACAAATGCTCTCTCTCTCTCTCTCTCTCTCTCTCTCTCTCTCTCTCTCTCTCTCTCTCTCCACCCTTCTTCTATAAAATCAGACGACAATCTAAAGCCTAAAACCCTCCCCTTTATTTCCAACTTCATTTACAATACACAAACAGAAAACCTTTTATACACTCCTACAAATCCTTCATCCTTACTCCTCAAACATTCCACCCTCCACTGTGAAGTTATTACTGTTAAGTATATATATAACCCAACCTCAAGTGTGTGTGTGTGTTTAAGTCTTTGTGATGAACTTAGGATCCTCTTATACTGGTCAGGAAATATAGTGTTGAATCCTATTAATGTTGGCTTCTAATATGTATAAATACCAGCATGTATAAACACTATGAGGCGTTCGTGATCTGTGAGGGTAATGAGTTAGTGTGTTAAGAGGGAAATGCATGAGTGTTAAGATGTGTTAATGAGGAAGGCAGAGAGAAAGGTGATGAGAGAACGTGTTGTGAGAGGGAGGTGTAAAATGTACGTAGGAAGAACAGAGGGGAAAGTATGGAATTGAAATATACGGGTATATAACGAGGAGGGAGTGTGAACAGAAGTGAACACACTGAAAAAAATTATCTCATGAAATTTATTGGATATGAGGGTGGAAGCGGCGATAATTGGAAAAGGGTGAAAGAGCAGATAAAAAATGGTAGGGGGAAGCCGAAGTCATGCGAATGTTAATTAAGTTGAACGTTGTTTAAGAATCGGTCACATTCACCCACACATAAATTAGCTTCCATTATATAGAGTAATCAAAATTTTCCCGCATATTATGACTCATAAATCTGCATACAGAGGCCCTGAGGAGATCCTGGTGCTGAGTCTCAGAAGCACTTACGAATTATTTATCGTTACTGAAGAAGTAAGAATGGATCTAACTGCTAGATGTAAGGTAAAGTGAAGAAGTAACTTTCAACAGCAACACGAAGACGCCACCTTAACTAGATACATCCACTTACTAACATATAGTACGATAAGGAATCATTGGGAATGTTTTTCTTTGCTCATTTTGTCTCTAAGTGATGCCAAGTTAAACTGTCTGGTTAAGATACAATCTCACGCTATTTTTTTTTTCTTTTTTTTTATGAATATTTTCATGTTTATGGTTAACCAACCAGTTAGGTGTATTCATACATCTTCAAATGCGAGAACTGTTCATTGTACAATACTTTGAGAATCTGGGACATGCATCCCGGAGCGGGGTAGCAATTGTCGACGATTACAGCGTCCGTCGCCTCCCGCCCCCGACCGTCAGGGCAGCGGCTGCCGGATGCGCCTCCCTCGGGATGGTGGTGGTAGTGTAGGTGGTGAGGAGGGCGGGAACGAGGTCGTCCTCTCCGTGTATAATTAGAGGTAGTCAGGGAGATGGTTTCCTAGAAAGAGACGACCTGCTCAAGATGAGGTCATCCTCCAAAGAACGAGAAGGACTATGACTTCCGTCACGTTAGAAAGTCGTAAAATTTATTTCTTGCCAGCGAGTGACTGCAGAGTTGATACTGGGGGTGAAAGTCTCGTTAAGGCAGCGTCCATCTCCTCTGTGAGTGTGTGTTGGTCGTGAAATTCTACTGCAGTACACACAGGGATCTCCACTCATTTCTGTGCTCCAGTAAAATGAAATTTTTCCCGGTTCCTCTTCAGGAACTTTGACTATGAAAATGTACACTCCTGGTCCTTCTCCATGTGTATTGAATAGGAAATCTTTTTGGCAATCATGAGGACATCATCAGTCTCTCCAAGTGCACTAGCGAAGACACTCTCCTCAATAGATCAAGATCATCAATTACTCTCAATCTCCTCCCCTCCAGCAGCACCCTGTAGTAGCGGCCCCTCCCCCGACCGCCTGCCTTGGGATATACTGGTCCCCGCCCGACTGGCCTTATCCAGGGTTACTCTTGCCCATCTCTAAAACAAACCTGCCATGAGCGCCTCCTCTCCTTCCCTCCCTCCCCCTTCCCTACCTCCTGTTCCTCCTCCTCACCCCCTTCCCTCCTCTCCTCCATAACCCCCTTATCCTCCTCTCCTCTCCTCCCCTCCCCCCTGCTTTGCTGTCCACCTCAGGTCTGGACAAAAACATCACCCCGCCTCTCACTTGGCCCCTCCGGCCCTGCCAAAACACCCCACCAGCACCTGGGGGACTCACATGGCTCTCCTGGCCTCACCGACAGCTGGAGATCGGCAATGAAACTCTGTCCCTCGGTACTAAGACTCTCACCCTCGGTACTAAGACTCCGTCTCTTTGTACTGAAGCTCCTTCCCTCGGTACTGAAACTCATTCCCTCGGTACGAAAATTACTAAAACAACTTCCCTCGGTACTAGAACTCCTTCTTGGTACTAAGACTTTTACCCTCCACCAGCATCATCATCTTCCTATGGATCAAATTTTCTTTCGTCGTTGATGATGAGAGAGAGAGAGAGAGAGAGACCCTCCCCCCTCTATTGTGACCTCTCTTTCAACCTACAAATTGCTATACACTCTGTAAATTACACCTGGGGTTTCCCGTACGGTGCAATTCTGCTTAGGAAATTACAATACTTTCTTCTAAATTATACATCCTCAGCAATTGCATAGCATTCCCTGTAAATTGCCATGACCTTTGTAAATTGCCTCGCGCCGTAAACAGTCTAAGTGAAATGCAATTAGTTTGGTTTAGTGATTCTTGAAGAGTAGTTGACGAGATGAATATGTATACTGCTATAAATAATGTACACTGTTGTAGCTGATGTATACTGCTATAAATAATGTACATTGTTGTAGCTGATGTATACTGCTATAAATAATGTACACTGTTGTAGCTGATGTATACTGCTATAAATAATGTACACTGTTGTAGCTGATGTATACTGCTATAAATAATGTACACTGTTGTAGCTGATGTATACTGCTATAAATAATGTACACTGTTGTAGCTGATGTATACTGCTGTAAATAATGTACACTGTTGTAGCTGATGTATACTGCTATAAATAATGTACACTGTTGTAGCTGATGTATACTGCTGTAAATAATGTACACTGTTGTAGCTGATGTATACTGCTGTAAATAATGTACACTGTTGTAGTTGATGTATACTGCTATAAATAATGTACACTGTTGTAGCTGATGTATACTGCTGTAAATAATGTACACTGTTGTAGCTGATTTATACTGCTATAGCTGTTGCATAGCTGTCATTGTTAGCTCAGCTCCACAGTATATATGAAGCATCAAGCAAAGATAACCGCATCGTTTCCTTTAGATGTATAGTGTAAGCCCATAATACTGTGTAAACCAAACAATGCTCCCCTGTATTTTTATGTAAACAACATACTTTATATACTGAGAATATACAACGGATTCAAGATAACAATATATACTATGACTTGAAGATAGTAATTAATAGCATAATTTCAATAATAATAATAATAAAAATAATAATAATAATAATAATAATAATAATAATAATAATAATAATAATAATAATAATAATAATAATAAAAATAATAATAATAATAATAATAATAATAATAATAATAATAATAATAATAATAATAATAAAAATAAAATAATAATAATAATAATAATAATAATAATAATAAAAATAATAATAATAATAATAGTAATAATAATAATAATAATAATAATAATAGTAATAATAATAATAATAATAATAATAATAATAATAATAATAATAATAATAATAATAATAATAATAATAATAATAATAAAAATAATAATAATAATAGTAATAATAATAATAATAATAATAATAGTAATAATAATAGTACTAATAATAATAATAAAATAATAATAATAATAATAATAATAATAATAATAATAATAATAATAATAATAATAATAATATTAATAATAATAAAATAATAATAATAATAATAATAATAATAATAATAATAATAATAATAATAATAATAATAATAAGTAATAATAATAATAATAATAATAGTAATAATAATAATAATAATAATAAAAATAATAATAATAATAATAAAAATAATAATAATAATAATAATAATAATAATAATAATAATAATAATAATAATAATAATAATAATAATAATAATAATAATAATAATAATAATAATAATAATAATAATAATAATAATAATAATAATAATAATAATAATAATAATAATAATAATAATAATAATAATAATAAAAATAATAATAATAATAATAATAATAATAATAATAATAATAATAATAATAACATCATTAAAAACACATCAGTAAGAACATTAGACACACTTCATCATCATCAACATCAACACACGACCTCTACCTTCGTCACGTACAAGGTCACACACACACACACACATACACACACACACACACACACACATCATATTAATCATATTAATCGTCTTATTTTTTCTGTTTCTCCATCCGGATTCATGAACAACGTTACACGAACGTAATCACACCCAAAAATAAAGCCTCACCTTAATTATGATACCATTTTAAAGTGTTATTATTCTTTTTTTTTTTTTTACTTTACAGTAAGTTGGGTACGATTTTGTATTTCCACTTACAGGTAGAGTATATCAGGATTCTTTAAGCATCCTTGTGGATGGTGTAATGAGGGCTGAATTACCAACATCAGGGCACTAACTACTCGCCTGGAGGGTAGGGACGGGGGGTGATGTAAGTTTGTAAGTGGGTTGTAGTTAAGAGGTATAATGGAGGAGATATTAGGGAAATGGTGGAATGGTGGTGGTAGTAGTAGTAGTAGTAGTAGTAGGAGGAGGAGGAGGAGGAGGAGGACGTAGAAAGAGAGAGAAGGATGAAAGGATGAAGGGAGGGAGAATGGAGGAAAGAAGGTAGGATGGGAGGGAAGGAGAGAGAGGAAAGGAGGAAGGCTGGAGGTATACAAGAAAGGAAGGGGGGGGATGAGAGGGAAAGAATAAGGAAAGAAGACAGGAAGGAGGAAGGAAGGGAGGGAAGAAGGAAGGAATGGAGGAAAGGAGAAAAGAAGGAAAGAAATGAGGTAGGGAAGGAGAGAGGAAGGGAGGAAAGGAAGAAGGAGGGAGGGGGAAGGAGGGAGGAAGGAAGGGAAGGAGGGAGGAAAACCAACACTCATCCACTTCTTATACGTCTCTGTCGAAATTACCCCAACAGTGTAAGTAATGCAGGTAGCCTCTATAGCCTCCCCTGCTATTAACAGTCTCTCCTACCTTCTCAAACCATCTCTGATTATCACTTGGTCTTTAGATTCTCATTCTCAAAGATCTATATTTAATGTATTTCTCTTCGTAACAAGGGTTGAGGGGGGGGGGGTGTCCTTGGTGAGCCAGGTTAGTGAACAATGAGTAACACCCATAACAGGTTAGTGAACAATGAGTAATATCCATAACAGGTTCGTGAGTAATGAGTAACACCCACCCTAGTATTTTCGGTGATGTACGCCTCGATTCGAAATAACACCTGACAGAACACAGTCTTATCAACGCACAACATCACGGTTCCATGGAAAGGGAACAGACTACGTGGACCACGGCTCACCAGTGGACGTGTTGTACACCCACTAAAAGATTATTCGGCACCCGTGTCATATTGTATCACGCCGTAAGGGTGCCGAATAATCTTTTAGTGGATGTACGTATATTTCTCGCAGGCGATTGACCAAGTCCTACATGCACGACAAGCCTCGAAGACCCAGGCACTGCAGAACACAGGCAACAAAGAGTGGTAATAAATGGAGTACATTCTGATTAGAAACAGGCTCTCAGTGGAGTACCGCGAGGTGTTACCTATGATCCCACTATGTTTGTGATCTTCATAAACGACATAGATGAAAACATATCGGGCCACATTGACAAGTTTGCGGACGACACGAAGTATTTGGGAAGGCAGCAAGTCAAAACGATTTAACAACCTTGCATAAGGACCTGCACGAGCTGTTCAAATGGTCTCGAGACTGACAAATACTCTTTAACATTACAAAATGCAAGACCCATAGGATACAATAACCCTAATTACAACTATTGTTACTAACACTTTTTGGATACTGTCGAGGAGAAAAACCTTGGTATTGTGACAGATGAGTTACTGAAGGAGGCGCAACAAGTAAGAGCATCAGTGGGAAAAGCAAATCGAGATTTGGGAATTATAAAGCACACCTTCGAATACAAAGATAAGCAAACGCTCCTTTAAATGTACAAATGTCACATACGTCCCAGACTGGATTATTGTATACAGGCTTGGAAACCCTACCTCCAGAAAGACCTAACTTCCCTAAAAAAAAGATGATTATGGAATATGTCATCTCGATTATGTGAGTAGACCGAGGGCCTTAGGACTAACAACCCTTCAGACAAGGCACACGAGGGAAGATCTCACTGAAACATTCAAAATCCCAAAAGGGGTCTAAAACGTGAAACCGGGACATTTCTTTGTGATGTCACTCCCCACCAACACGAGAGGACATAACTACAAGTTCGCCAAGTTATCACGAAGAACAAACACAAGGAAGTATTTCTTCACACAATATTGGGCTTCAAAATAGCCCTTGACAAAATGGAGGGATCCTGCACAAGCCACTGGTCTCCTTCCCTTGGCATGGCTACCTGTAGTGGGTGGCCATTAGGTAAATAATGTAAACCTTTGTAACGTAAGGCGAAAATATCAACGAATTCTTGAATATTAGTAGGGATTTTTTTTTCGTTTTGGTCTAGAGAACTGATCATATCTAACTAACTAACTGGTCTAGAGAACTGATCATATCTAACTAACTAACTCATAAGATTCTAATGTAGCTTAACTCTAACTCTAACTCCTTCTCTTGCAACTAGTTATTGTATAATCTTAATAAGTACTTGTCTTGGAACCTGTTAAGAGCAAAAAACTTATACAATTCTTTCATATCTTGAGTATTAACCACATCTCTCGTAACTGGTCAAGAGTACAAAAACATACGAAACTGCTTAAGTAGAATTCAGACCCTGCAGCCTTGCCTCCCAGCCAGCCGTGTGTAAATCTGTTCCCCCTGATGGTGTTTTTGCATCAAGTAATAGCACGAGTTGGCCTCCAGTATCTCCCCCCTCCCCTCCCTCCTGCCTGCATCCCTCGCTTACCATCTGTAATTCTTGTCGTCGTCTTCTGCAGGTCGTGGTGCGGCGCTCGACCACCCGGCATGACCAAGATATCCGGGAACTGGATGTTGTTCTCTTTCCTGTTTTTGTTTTTGTTTTTGTAAAGGAGTTGAAAAGTTTTGGTTACGTGTGAGTTGTTAGTCATTTGGTCTTCATATTTGCTTTGTTATGTTATAATTACCTCTCTCTCTCTCTCTCTCTCTTCTATTTTCTCCTACTTTCAGCTTTCTTCATTTCGTCTATAAATCCCATTTTCATTTACGAGGAATCTCTCTCTCCCTTCTTCCTGTGTGCTTTCTGTGTGTGCCTGTCTCTCTCTCCTTCCATATCTCTCTCTCTCTCTCTCTTCCTCAATTCAGGCATACTCACAAAACAGGTTGGCCCCTTAAACACCTTCCGTCTGGCGCACGTGTGTGGGTGACGGGGATCAGCGGGGAGGAGAGTGGCCCAACGTATCATTATTGTCGTCGGTTGCAGCTGTTACTGTGGCCCGACCTCCGCCCTCCACCACTATCACGGTATAATTGTCTTCTCCTCCTCACCACAGGGCCTCTGGCTTCTTGCTCCCGGTGATTGGTCCACGTGAGTTGTTTTCGAGTTTTTTTTTATATGGTAAGTGCTGGTGATTTGCTTTAGTAATTGGTGTTTTCGTGTTGTTTTGGTTAGCTCCTTTTTGGTATATGTCGTTTGATGAGCTCGTTTTGGGGAATTTGTAGTCGACTGTTGTATTTTTGGTGATTTTGTTTTGATGACTTGTTCGAGTGAAGTGAAGTGTATTGTCCTGGTTACTGATCTTGGTAATTTGTCATGCTTTGGTAACGTGTCTTACTAAGTTTTCCTGGTAGTGTGTGTGTGTGTGTGTGTGTGTGTGCAGTCGGAATCACAATAATAGCTCTTCAAGTTTTGATTCCTGGTAGAGTTTCGAGAAGGATTCCTACAACACCTCAAATTTTCGAGGATTTTCGGAAAGAATCAAGTACAGTTGTCTTAGGTTGCCGCCACACTAACACACACACGGAGGTCACCGTCAATTTTACTGAAATTGCCGAGGAACGTGACTGTGATGCGGAATAGTCTTAAGTAAGGATGATTACAGAAGTATAATCAGTATATGCACTTTAGAATTATTAATTTTATTGGATAATTTGCTTATAAATTCTTATTAAGTCACCTTGAAGGGCATGCGAGAGTTTTTCTAAACACCACGAGCGTCATCACCAGAAAGATTACTGATGAGCGCGTCATCATCATCATCGCTACTTCCTGTGGTTGCCTCCTGAAGAAGTAAGGCCACACGAAGCTCTGTCCCCGTCACATAACACCGCTCCTCAGTGAAACTTGGAACTATGCTAGACTTCCTAACTTCCTGTTCACTGTGGAGCCTTTAGATTAGAAGAACAAGGGTTATAAAAGGCCGCCCTCAGAAGTAAGACAACAGAAGGTCGCCCTCAGATAAAAGTAAGACGACAAAAGGTCGCCCTCAGATAAAAGTAAGACTACATAAGGTCGCTCTCGGAAGTAAGACTACAGAAGGTCGCCCTCAGATAAAAGTAAGACTACAGAAGGTCGCCCTCAGAAGTAAGACTACAGAAGGTCGCCCTCAGATAAAAGTAAGACTACAGAAGGTCGCCCTCAGAAGTAAGACTACAGAAGGTCGCCCTCAGATAAAAGTAAGACTACAGAAGGTCGCCCTCAGATAAAAGTAAGACTACATAAGGTCGCCCTCAGATAAACGTAAGACTACAGAAGGTCGCCCTCAGATAAAAGTAAGACTACATAAGGTCGCCCTCAGATAAACGTAAGACTACAGAAGGTCGCCCGTTGCAGGAAGCGTCCCGTCCTGACCCCAGCTGTGATATCTGAATCATTACTATGGACCCGGCGGGTTAAGGTTAGGACCGCTGGCTACCGTGTGGTGGAGGTCAGGCAGGTCAACCCAGCAGTCTTTGTGATTACCACCCAACCTCTTTCTGGATCATACGTTATAAATTTTGATTGTATCATATGAAGAATAGACACCCCAGCTTATTTAACCTCACGAGTAAACACCCTAACGCTGCCTGAGGGGGTTGGGTTAGGTTAGGTTAGGTTAACGTTTGGGTGGTTAATCCTTAGGTGATCATAATTATATATTAAAGTAAATTGTTTATCATTCAAGATCCTTCAGATTCACTACCTGCGTGACAAACTCTAGACAGGTTACCATGTCAACGACGCCCAAAAGAACGCCAATATATGAACACAGACCACGACACACTGCAAGAAATATTCCCTGTTAACTGATGTAGAAATTTTTTACTACCATAGGAAACCTACCATTCAGATTTTGCTTTATTAAGAATTCAGCGCCGTTATCCACATATATTATTTGATTATCTTTGTTGTCGATGATTTTTTGGTTACCAGTTGTTTAATCAAGGCATCATCGTTGGGTGTGAGGCTGGCGACCACTGCCTTCACTCTTAAGGTTGTGGGAATGTCTCGACCAATCTTCCAATATCTCTCCAGAAACTTGTCATTATCTCATCCTCAAAGTATTTAATTTTTCTTCCCCACATAATTGGCTAAATATGTACATTTTGTTTTAGTTCACTAATAGTACAATGATGATTTGTTACTTGCTTTTGTTTCAAGAGTGACAACCAAAACAAACAAACAAGGTACGTTTGATTCAGTGGTTTGTGAAGCTTCGAACTAAGAAGACGGCATCCGAGACTTAGGTCGATTGACACTTTATATGGACACTCAGAAGTTTTTTCTCTATATAAAATTGGTGAAGATGGTGTACCGTCGGGGAAAGACAAAGAACATGATAATGATGGTGAAGGAAGATTGGAGTTAGTGAAAATGGTGAGGATAATGAGCGTAGTGAGTGGTGAGGATAGTGAGAATGGGTGTAGGTGACTGTCAGGTGAGGAAGGTGTTGATGAGAATAGTCAAGACGGCTTAAATGTAAGCAGTGATGAGAGTGACGGCAGTGAGGATAGTGATGGTAAAGAGAATGCAGGCGAGAGTGACGGCAGTGAGGATAGTGATGGTAAAGAGAATGCAGGCGAGAGTGACGGCAGTGAGGATAGTGATGGTAAAGAGAATGCAGGCGGGAGTGACGGCAGTGAGGATAGTGATGGTAAAGAGAATGCAGGCGAGAGTGAGGACAGTGAGGATAGTGATGGTAAAAAGAATGAGCAGTATGGTAAAGAGAATGCAGGCGAGAGTGACGGCAGGAGGATAGTGATGGTAAAGATAATGGAGTGTGAGGTGACTGTGACGGCAGGTGAGGCAAGAGTGAGGATAGTGATGGTAAAGAGAATAGTGACGGCAACGGCAGGCTTAAATAAAGTACGGCAGTGAGGATAGTGATGGTAAAGAGAATGCAGGCGGGAGTGACGGCAGTGAGGATAGTGATGGTAAAGAGAATGCAGGCGAGAGTGACGGCAGTGAGGATAGTGATGGTAAAGAGAATGCAGGCGAGAGTGACGGCAGTGAGGATAGTGATGGTAAAGAGAATGCAGGCGGGAGTGACGGCAGTGAGGATAGTGATGGTAAAGAGAATGCAGGCGAGAGTGAGGACAGTGAGGATAGTGATGGTAAAAAGAATGCAGGCGAGAGTGAGGACAGAGAATGACGGCCGTGTTTGACCACAGGATGTGTAAACCTTTAAAACTGGCGATAAAGTAGCTTTAATCTGGCTCTTCCAGGCCGGATGTGTTGCTATGCTGGTGTCATTACCAAGAACACATAGTTGTGGGCCGGATAACACACACACACACACACACACACACACACACACACAACAAATACACGCACGAGTACATCGACACATACAAACACAAAAAGACCCACACGCCCTCTCAGTAAATAATTGTTTTTCATTATAATCATCGTCTTTCTTGTTACTAGCTTCCTTCCTCTCCCTCACCCACCAGGGAGTAACACCACCCTCCCCGTGGCGCTCCTCCCTCACCCACCAGGGAGTAACACCACCCTCCCCGTGGCGCTCCTCCCTCACCCACCAGGGAGTAACACCACCCTCCCCGTGGCGCTCCTCCCTCACCCACCAGGGAGTAACACCACCCTCCCCGTGGCGCTCCTCCCTCCCTCATCGAGAAACACTTACCCGCACGACACTTGTTTCTATAACTACGGAAAATGGACGTAAAACAGCAAGAGATGTGTGTAATGAAGTCGGCACCCGGTAACTATTGCTCTCTCTTCACTCTGGCCCTGAGGAACAACATGCCATTACGGTCGATATTCCTCTTCATTTAGATATAGATCTTCGTATTTAGATGTAATTGTTACCAAACATACTAATTCTTGCTGGCGGTAAATTATTGTCATCCTGCAAGAAGATCATTTCGTGATGTTGACATTCGCAGCTGTGTTTAGGCGCATGCTGTTGCCATCTTAGTTGGCAAAATAATAAACTCTTATTTAGTGAAGTGCCCCAATGGAAAAAGATAATTTTACTAAGTGATTTGTTTTTTTGGTATGTGATAATGTGAGATAATGTGAGCAAGTTGCGACCTTACATCTGAATAATGGAGCTACTTTTCTTGTTCGTCCTTCCGATTTGAAAGATAAGTTGAATTTGTTACATTTTGGCTTCCTCTGGCCAATAGATTAACTTGTGACTAACTTCATTTCTTTCTTTTCTCCCTCTCTCTTGTTTTCATTTTTCTAACTCTATAACGACAGCAAGTAATTCACACTCCACTTCTAATTATGCCCGATGGTGCTCTTAAATGCCCATTGTTTCTCTACGTTTTCTTCTCTCATGACCAGTGCATTACAATAACTCAATCTGTCTCTGAAATCTCACTTTCTTCCGTAGCAGATTACAGTGCGTTATTTACAGTAGAATGTATTCATACACTGTACCTTACTAAGGCATATATAAGGCAAGTATAGGAAGGCAGGTGATGAGAGTAGTGGTCATTCCTAGAAGACAAACACGAAGAAATACGTGACAGGAAGCGAGAGAGAGAGAGAGAGAGAGAGAGAGAGAGAGAGAATATGGTTGACTTGGTCGTGAGTGGATAGATTAGACTTGGTAGTAATTGGACCTCGACCAGGTGGGTAGTCGAATGGTCGTCCCTCGTCACAATAATACGACTCGTCCAGGTAAGTTATGGCGCGGTACTATCACTTAATGGAGCCCCACTAATGTTTAAATGGGGTGTTAAGTGGTGCTCAGTTGATAGTGTTTCCTCTGTCTTTTGTGGTGAATAAGGAAACACACACGCACACACATTGCATTACAATTTTCGCTAACCTCCTAAGGACACAAAAACAATAGTACAGTAGATAATAGCACACAGCATAACAAAAAAATTAACTAATGGTATTGATAACTATGACAGTACTAACACATCCCTGTGAGCACCAGCCGGCTCTAGCAGATGACCGCTGACACACACAAAGGGAGGGAACACCATGCAGTACATTGACACAGGAAAATTGAGTGTGGCGACCAGGGTTCGCCCACCACGCCCGGGAACTGACTGGTGGCGGAACGTTGTAACACACACACAGAGTGTTTTCGGCATAAAATGTGTGGATCACACACAGTGTTCTAAGAGAGATTAACATCTCGTCGGAGATAAACGAACTGATAAGGACAAAAAGAGTTTCTTTTTGGTCACGTCCCCGCCCGTATGGTACATGTGTGGTGGCGTGACACACTCATCGGGAGGCACTACCGTGGGTGAGGGGTTCTGGCCCGACACAAAAGCTCTCACAACACACTAGTACAGTTGTGCCTCTCGTGGGCCATGTATCACAGGAAGGGACTCGGCCACTCTTGTTGGCGTTACTTGTCCACGGTGTTGTCCGCTGTATGGGAGGCGTTCGTTAGGTGAGGCCAGTTATATTGGTATTTTTTAAATTGTCACCCTGACCTACATCGAAAACATAGACGAGTACTTTTTCAAGTCTGTTCATTCTTTCGGACACTCGGAGGGCTTACTGGGTAAAATGAACCCAACAACTTTCCCTGAAAAAAATCTGAAACTTAACAAAAAAACATTTAAGATGAATGATGGCTATACAGTACAGTACAGTACAGTACAGTACAGTACAGTACAGTACAGTACACTACAGTGTAGTGTAGTGTAGTGTAGTGTAGTACAGTACAGTACAGTACAGTACAGTACACTACAGTGTAGTATAGTGTAGTGTAGTACAGTACAGTACAGTACAGTACAGTAGTGTAGTGTAGTGTAGTGTAGTACAGTACAGTACAGTGCAGTGCAATGCAGTGCAGTGCAGTACAGTACAGTACAGTGTAGTACAGTACAGTGCAGTACAGTACAGTATAGTGCAGTGTAGTACAGTACAGTACAGTGCAGTGTAGTACAGTACAGTACAGTGCAGTGTAGTACAGTACAGTACAATGCAGTGCAGTGTAGTACAGTACAGTACAGTACAGTATAGTGTAGTGTAGTACAGTACAGTGCAGTGTAGTACAGTACAGTACAATGCAGTGCAGTGTAGTACAGTACAGTACAGTACAGTATAGTGCAGTACAGTACAGTACAGTGCAGTGTAGTACAGTACAGTACAGTACATTATAGTGCAGTGCAGTACAGTACAGTACAGTGTAGTACAGTACAGTGTAGTACAGTACAGTGCAGTGTAGTATAGTACAGTACAGTGCAGTGTAGTACAGTACAGTACCGTACATGTTGTAATATGGTTCAAGGTGAATATTTTTTTTCAATTCCTAAATTTCCTGCCGTCTTCGGGTTGTGTGCTTGCCGAGTGGTTACAACGCTCACCTTCTGATCTATGGGTTGCTGGTTCGTACCTGGGGCGCCCTTAATTCACCCAGCTGTGAATGGGTACCTAGCTTTACAGGTGGGGGACGTTAAAGCGGTTGAGTGCAGTGCCGGCCACGCTGCCTCCTGGTGTGCCAAAAATTGGCTTGGCCTCCATTGTGCTGTACAGTATTCGCATTGCCCCTCGCAGGCCTCTAGGCTCACGGGGTTCACTTGCACTTTTCTTCGTCTTTGGAACTTAACGTGAGTATACTTCTTTCCTCGAAAATCTGTCACCAACTGTGTGTAGAGATGTAGTCTCTGTTCCTATTCTGTTCACTGGGAAAGGCAGTTACACTCCGTAAACGATCATCTTGTTACGTGAATTTTATTCCCAGATTAAAGTTAGAGTTGTTTTTAAAACTTAAAACAAGATTCAATCTTTTTCGTGGTGTTTCAATTGTCTATTGTTTACCAGTATAAGTACGACAGTTGTAATGTATAACGACAAGACTGAATTTCACCTCAGGACACACATTCATTAACACGCTGGGTGATCAGCACAAGTCAATTAATTACCTAGTTGTTAAACAATCTTTCTCAGTCATCCAATATCAACTTTACGACAGTGAGACCGAGAAATTTGTTGCTTCATGATGTAATGTTTCTAGAAAAACACAAGCTGGCCCCTGTATGTGTTGTTTATTAACGAAGGTCAAGCGAGTGTTGGATGATAAATTCTTGATTAATATATAACCTTTATTATAGATTTCATTTAAATAGTGGTTTCAGAATATAATTATTTTTTCATCACACTTAATATGAAACAAGAAAAAAATTACATTTGATTTTAACAGAGGAGGATACTGGTAACTGTCCAACCCTGTGAAATCCACGAGTAAAAGTGGATCCTTTTATGTAAACCTTGTCAGTGTACTCTCAGATCCCCCATATAGTAAGTCTACGTTCATTTTCAGCCATAACTGGGGAGACAAAAAACACGTTTAACTTTAACTAAATAAGTAAATTACATAAACTACGTCACCAACTTCTCGGCAGAAATGGCGTAGATAACGCACTGGATTGACAACGTAACTAAAAACGATTTCTTAACATAGTATAAAAAAATCGAACCCTTGAGAATTTTCTTGTCCCCAAACTAGAGCTAGCGCCAGTTAGGACATTATTTTTAGTATCTTAGGTTCAGTCAGCAAGTTAAGTGCGTTTAGTGCTACTACAGTATGGCGTCTACTGGATATTTACACTATAGACCAACTCCAGCTCGGTAGCCCGTATCCTAGAGTAGTACCGAGCGTGTTAACATCTCCAGTTGCAGGAAACATTCAACGTTACAAACTATTGATAATCCCCCGAGCACAAACCCTGAAAAATAACCGCCGCTTAATATCCTTACGAGACAGAACTTGGCCTTAAGACCCCAGCCCTGTATCCGATTCTCATTCACTATTTCTTGAAAAACGAGGAATTAATTATAGCCGTGAAAGGTTTCAATCCCTTGTGGCGATTCAGACACCAGTCGGTAGTAATCGTGGTATAGGAAAGGAAAACGACGATTGAATCACCTGGATAAACAAACTCACATTTCTGACCACGGTAATCCTGAGATATTTCTGTTGGGTCACGACGTCCAACAATGGTGGAGGAACTGACCTATTTCTCCTCAAGAGTTCTGGAGCGGCTGAGGAATGTTTGAGATGTCGATAAGATGAAGAAACCTGATTCTTTTTCTTTGGGAAGCTCACTGGGCGAGGATTCCCTGGGTGGGTCATATACTGGCATTACCAGGCTCGTTTCGCGGGGTGGGTGGGGGGGAGGAGCTGTTGAGGGAGTAGAGGGGATTGACAGG